CCCAGGTGGTATCTATTTATCTATTTGCATTTTTGCATGCTTTCGAACCGTTAGGTTGGCAGGAGCTGGGACAAGCAATGGGGGCTCACTCTGTCATGTGGATTCGATCTTATGACTGCAGGTCTTCTGACCTTGCAGCACAGAGGCTTCAGCAGTTTAACCTGCAGCGCCACCACCCAAAGACAAAATGTTAGGGTAGGTTGCCTTCTTACCTAGGTCACATTAGGGAGGAAGAGTACTTGGCTGATTCTTCATGCCTGTCCATTTAGACTGAACTCTGAATGATAACTTTTTTTTTAAAAAAAATGAAACTCCAAGAGGCTTTTTGCCTCTAGAACAGAATGAGACAAGTAGTACTACTCTTTATTCTCATGTCATGATTTAGGCAATCTATCTTTGAATCAAATTAGTATCCCTCTCATTTTAGAGGCCAAGGACACCTGCGCTCAGCAAGCACAGAACGGAGGGGCTGGTTGTTTTGAAAGATCCAAAGAACCCCTTTGATGCTTCCAGCCCTTAAAAATCCATTCAACAATGTAACAGCCACCTCACTCTGTGTGATCATTGTTATTTGCATCAAGAGTGTTTGTTCACATTATTTGTGTAATTTAGCCTAATGTGCACATAAATCGTCACCTTCACTTCTTGAGAGCACAACAAAATATCTCACCTTCTCATTGAATGAGGAGAACTGAATTTGTGGTGTGTCCTCTCCCTGTGTGAGGATGGGGCAAGCAAGGATTTATGTGGTGTGCTTTCGGGCAAGGTGTCTCATCGTACAATGAGCCTAGCTCATTCATAGTCCTCCTTTGTCTAGAATCATCCCCAGACTAGCAAAATGGACAGCTAACAGCAGAGTTCTACAAGAAATGTAGCATCTCCACTTGTCCCCCAAGGAACTGGCTATCCTCCTAAATCCCAACGTTCTAACCCCAGCGTTCCAAAACATGGGTCCCCAGATATCTTGGACTCCAATTTCCAGAAATCCTGGACAGCCCTACTAATGTGACAGCATCTAGGAGTTTTAATCCATGAATATCTGGGGACTCAAGGTTGGGAACCATTGTTCTAGTGTTTTGCCCACCCCTGGAAAAGAGTTAGGTTGTGCAACCACCAAGTTGATTCTCTCGATCGTTCAGCATCGCAGCCATGGTGGTTCCTCCCTCCTTGTACAGCTAAAGTCAAAGAGGTCTCACTTGTTAGGGCACCATGGCATGAGAAGACAGCAATACAGTTACTTCCTCCTACACCATTTTCCTGTTAGAAATCAACCCTGCAGAGCTGAAGCTGCAGAGGGGAAAAAGGTTAATTGTCTCTTCAGATGAGAGGACAATTACATGTTACAAATGACTTCCACTTATTGAGATCAGCACAGAACAGTCAATGCTTGCTTGCAATATTTATGACCAAGTCAATCCATCCAGCAAGAGGGTAGAGTAGACAGATCCATTTAGCGCAGGACTGATAGCAAACAGATTACCCCTCCAGAATATGAGCAAATTAAAACTTGCATAAAGCCTCCATTAATCTCAATAGATTTACTGCAGAGCTTAACTTCACAGATTTGGCAAAGACTAAAGAAAATATGCTAACCAACTTAATTAGTCTAATTAATTTATGCTAATAGACCAGATTAACCTTATCAAAAAAAGGTTAAATGTCTCTTCAAACCAGAACATAGCAACTTAAAATCTATACATATATTGTGGGGTGATGCCTTGAATTATGGGCGTGTTGGCTGAAGAAGCCATTTCTTGGCTCAAGAAGGTGTATTTTCTGAACAAGCATTTGAAGGTTAAATCAAATGCAAGGGATCTTTATAGATTTTGAATCATAGAATAATTGAGATGGAACAGGCGTACGAGGACATTGAATCCAACTCCCTGCTAAGTGCAGGAATCCAGATCAAACGATATCAGACATACAATTGTCCAATTTTCTCCTGAATGCCTCTAGCATTGGAGCACTCATCACCGCTTGAGATGATCAGTTCTATTGTTGTACTGCTCCAACAGTCAAGAGTTTTTTTCCTGATGTTCACTGAAATGTGGCTTCCTGCAACTTGAATCCATTATTACATATCCTGCGCTCTGGATTGATGAAGAACAGATAGTGCCCACTTCTGAATGGCTGGATTGATGAAGAACAGATAGTGCCCACCTCTGTATGGCAACCTTTCAAGTACTTGAAAAGTGCTATCTTATCTCCCCTCAGTCTTCTTTTCTCATGGCTAAACATGCCCGGCTCCTTCAGTCTTTCCTCCAGGGTCCTAGAGTATCATATTGACAATCTGCTATTTGACCTGGCGTGACTACTTACAAATTCTAATCACTTCTAATTCCCTGCCTACAGACAGTTTATCATAAAAGTTGCAAACACACCGTTCTTCACTGAGAATATTGCATAGAGTTCTGTGGAGCGGTGCACTGAATATTGAAATCTGCTGCATAATCTCTATGAAAACTATAACTTCTTCAACTAAGGTATCACACATATTTGTTGTGATAGTAAAACGGGATAAGCCATGGAAATCACCCAGAGTTATCTAGAGGAAAAAGCAATACAAATGTGTCCTCAGTACCAGCATGGGAGACTGTCAGAATACCCTATGTATTACGTCAGGAGTTCCCTTATAGAAGAAGGCAGACTGATAGGTACAAAGAAGTCTCCTTCCAGGAATCAATGGCTATTGATCACAGGCAAGTTCATAACTGTCTAACTAAAAAGCGAAAGAAAGATTCAAGTAAAGAACTGCTACAGCCCAGTAGCATCATATGGCTGAAAATACGAGATTTCCCAGATTGCTTTGAAGTGCAATTACCCTGCTTTCCAAGTTCACAAAAACTTAATGTGCATTGTTTTAAGTGCCCATATTCTCAGAACAGAAAAGTGGGTATTTAAATTTACATACTTTTCTAGCATCTTTTGGTTTTTACTGAAGTCTTGAAGCACTTTCGCAACTAATAGATAAGCAGAGCAAAACTGGAGTCAAAAGGCACTTCTGCGTCAATACCAGAAGTCCACTGCTCAGCTTCAGAACCTGAGAGAGCGCTCAAAGCTGAATTCCAAGACATAGAGAGGAGAGATTTCTGCACTCTCTGTTCAAATGAAGGGATGTTTCTTCCACCAAAGGCTGATAGGCATCGCATACAAAAACAAACCGCTACCCCTCCACTTGATATATTGCCCTCTTTCTCAATGATGAAGAACCCCAAACAATGATATCAACCTTAACTGATCATTGAGGATCATTTGCCAAGAATCTTTTTTCACACAAGGATGGTGTGTGCTGAGCATCGGTAAGATTGGAGAAATGTCAGAGAGCACAGGTCAGTTGGGAAACAGAAGAAGCCATTGCTTAGATAGGATTTCATTGTGTGGAAAGAGGTCAGTATAGCAAGAAGCATAGATAAAGCAGTAAACCTTCTCTTTAATTTGGTTTCCTCTAATGCTGTCAACTGTGCAGTGGACGTAAAGAGCAAATGCCCTCAATTCAACTTCTGCTCATTGAATTAAAAAGATTCTTGAACGATATATCTGCTTGAGAGATCTTAGAGTTGAAGGAAGTCTGTTCTCTTTCCATATTAGATGTTCTATCACAATACAGTATATACTTCAAATACACCCTTCAAATAGGGTTATGAGTGTTTGGTAGGAAAGTATTTTATAAATTTAAGTCTCTGAAATTCTTGACTTAAACAAAAGCAAGATCCTAGACCTCATGGCTTTATATTTGTTGTTGTTGTTGTTTAGTTGTTAAGTCGTGTCTGACTCTTCGTGACTCCATGGACCAGAGTATGCCAGGCCCTCCTGGCTTCCACTGCCTCCTGGAGTTGGGTCAAATTCATGTTGGTAGCTTCGATGACACTGTCCAACCATCTCATCCTCTGTCGTCCCTTTCTCCTCTTGCCTTCACACTTTCCCAACATCATGGTCTTTGCCAAGGAGTCTTCCCTTCTCTTGAGATGGCCAAAGTATTGGAGCTTCATCTTCAGGATCTGTCCTTCCAGTGAGCACTTGGGGTTATTTTCCTTCAAAATGGATAGGTTTGTTCTCTTTGCAGTCCAGGGGACTCTCAAGAGCATCCTTCAGAACCACACTTGAAAAGCATCAATTTTTTGGCAGTCAGCCTTCTTTATGGTTCAGCTCTCACTTCCATACATCGCTACTGAAAAAACCATGGCTTTGATTATGCGAACTTTTGTTGGCAAGGTGATGTCTCTGCTTTTTAAGATGCTGTTGAGGTTTGTCATTGCTTTCCTCCCAAGAAGCAGGCGTCTTTTAATTTCGGGGCTGCTGTCTCCATCTGCAGTGATCATGGAGCCCAAGAAGGTAAAATCTGTCACTGCCTCCATATCTTCTCCTTCTATTTGCCAGGAGGTGATGGGACCAGTGGCCATGATCTTAGTTTTTTTGATGTTGAGCTTCAGACCATTTTTTGCACTCTTGTCTTTCACCCTCATTACAAGGTTCCTTAATTCCTCCTCACTTTCTGCCATCAGAGTGGTATCATCTGCATATCGGCCAAGGTGGTCCCCCCAAATGTGAGAGAGCCACCCAAGCCACCTACCACGGGGGCACCCACCCTCAGAACTTCCGTCTTATCCGGATTCAGCCTCAGTCCGTTCTCCTGCATCCATTGCAGTACGGCCCCCAGGCAATGCTGAAGGGAAAGGACAGCATCACCTGCAGTTGGTGAAAAGGAGATATAGAGCTGGGTGTCATCGGCATATTGATGACACGAAGCCCCACATCCCCTAATGACCCCACCCAGGGGCCTCATATAGATGTTATGAGTGTTTGGTGGGAAAGTATTTTATAAATTTAAGTGTCTGAAATTCTTGACTTAAACAAAAGCAAGATCCTAGACCTCATGGCTGTAGATTTGTTGTTGTTTAGTTGTTAAGTCGTGTAGCTTTTTCCCCCTTTCCGGACGGGCCCGCGACAGATGGAGGCACTTGTCTCTCTCTTTCACTCTCTCTCCCTCCCTCCCTCCTGCCATGAGCCACCAGCAGCTCTATTGGAGCCACCCGAGGAAGTTCGGACAGGGATCCCACTCCTGCCAAGTCTGCTCCAAGCGCCATGGCCTGATCCACAAGTACGGCCTCAACATGTGCCGCCAGTGCTTCTGCTAGTACATCGGCTTTGTCAAGTTGAATTAAATGTGGACCCCTAGAGACAGCTTCCCTGCCTTGGCCACAAACCCACTGGCCAGAGGAGATGCACCGAAGGAGGAGTGCACAAAGAGAGGGGGCGCCTTGCAGGATCTGACCCTTGGAATTCCTCCTGCTCAACCTGACTTGAAAATGTGTTAAGTCATGTCTGCCTCTTCATGACCCCATGGACCAGAGCACGCCAGGCCCTCCTGTCTTCCATGGCCTCTGGGAGTTTGGCCAGTCATGTTGTTCGCTTCAATGACACTGTCCAACCATCTCGTCCTCTGTCATCCCCTTCTCCTCTTGCCTTCATACTTTCCCAACTTCAGGGTCTTTGCCAAGGAGTCTTCTCTTCTCTTAAGATGGCCAAAGGATTGGAGCCTCAACTTCAGGATCTGTCCTTCCAGTGAGCTCTCAGGGTTATTTTCCTTCAAAATGGATAGGTTTGTTCTCTTTGCAGTCCAGGGGACTCTCAGGAGTCTCCTTCAGAACCACACTTCAAAAGCATCAATTCTTTGGCAGTCAGCTTTCTTTATGGTTCAGCTCTCACTTTCATACATCGCTACTGAAAAAACCATGACTTTTTCAGACGTTTGTCGACAAGGTGATGTCTCTGCTTTTAGAGATGCTGTTGAGGTTTGTCAGCGCTTTCCTCCCAAGAAGCAGGCATATTTTAATTTCGTGGCTTCTGTCACCATCTGCAGTGATCATGGAGCCCAAGAAAGTAAAATCTGTCACTGCCTCCATATCTTCCCCTTCTATTTTCCACTGATGGGGCCACGTTGAGCTTCAGACCGTTTTTTGCATTATCCTCTTTCACCCTCATTAAGAGGTTATTTAATTCCTCCTCACTTTCTGCCATCAGAGTGGTATCATCTGCATATTGGAGGTTGATGATATTTCTTCTGGCAATGTTAATTCTGGCTTGGGATTCCTCCAGTCCTGCCTTTCACATGATGTATTCTGCATATATGTTAAATAAGCAGGGAGACAATATACAGGCTTGTTGTATTCCTTTCCCAATTTTGAACCAATTAGTTGTTCCATATCCAGTTCTAACTGTTGCTTCCTGTCGCACGTATAGGTTTCTCAGGAGACAGATAAGGTGGTCAGGCATGCCCATTTCTTTAAGGACTTGCCATAGTTTGTTGTGGTCCATACAGTCAAAGGCTTTTGCGTAGTCAATGAAGCAGAAGTAGATGTTTTTTCTGGAACTCTCTGGCTTTCTCCATAATCCAGCGCATGTTAGCAATTTGGTCTCAAGTTCCTCTGCCCCATGTATATATATACATACTTGAAAGCCAGTGAATTGATTGATTGATTGATTGATTGATTGATTGATTGATTGATTGATTGATTGATTGATTGATTGATTGATTGATTGATTGATTGATTGTTATCTCGCCTATCTGGACGAATAGACCACTCTAGAAAAATCATTTCAGAAATCTTGGAACCCAGAGAGATTCCACTTAATTAGGGACAAGGTTTTCCTATTTCTCTCCATGATGAGCAAACAGAAATAAAAGTGAAAATCTAGGTATTTAATACCTATAGCTCACTGATATAATTCACCACTTTAGCAGCTTGGGTAGAAAGTGTGCACAGGTCTGCAAAGTGATTTTGTTTCTGCACAAAAGCTCTAGTTCAAGCTAAATGTGGATTTGATAAGGCTGACTCAGCAATGAAAAAAAGAGAGGGAAGAATGTTTCTTCCTTTAATTAACCACACTGTTACTTAAGAAAACCATCTTCTAAATCTATACATGTCATACTGTGATTTTTTTTGGGGGGGGGGAATCCTGGAGGGAAAAATTATATAGTCAGTCTGTCATATCATTTCTCTTTCATAGAATAACTTTCCCCCCTTCAATATAGCAGCATTTTAAAGGGCCATAGGACTGATCAGGGGAGTCCATCAAATTAAAATTAAGACTTCTGTGGATTTTCAGTTCAATAGGGCTGCGTCCAATTGTCCCACAGCTGGGAGCAAGGAATAAACTAGGTTGTACCTGCTTATGCTACAAGTCTCAATGGTAAGAAGCATCAGAAATAAGAAGAGGTGCAATATTAACTCAGAATTAATATGAATAAACATTAAAGCTACACAGTCTCAGGAGGCACCCAGGGAATGGAAAATCATTTCTCAGTATTTTCTACCTAGAAAACACTGGAAAAGGTTGCCATAATTGACTTGATGGCTTGTTGTTGTTGTTGTTGTTGTTGTTGTTGTTGTTGTTGTTGTTGTTGTTGTTGTTGTTGTTGTTGTTGTTGTTGTTGTTGTTGTAAAACACCAGGCAGAGTCAATCGAAATTATAAAGATATTGACTGATATTATATAACAGATACAAGTTTTAACCGAAAACCGAAATATGTATTAAAGATCAGCACAATATGTATGCTGCTACTAATATTCCTGAAGTGTGTTTCTTCCAGAGACAAGATGTTTCAAATGCTAGGTCTGTGTATGTTGTTGCTGCTGCTGCTGGACAAATGGCCAAGCTGTGAAAAATTAGTACAATTCCTGGGCAGAACTGTTTCCTCTGCAGGATTTGCCCAGAAAGGGGGCGGGGAACTATGAAATTACACAGGACTCTTACACGTCCTGCGCAGAATTCCATAAGTCATGGAAATGGCATTAAGATGTATGTGCAGAATGTAGCTGCTTACTGCACAGAACAATGGATGAAAATGTATGTATGTATGTATGTATGTATGTATGTATGTATGTATGTAT